TTTGAAAGGTGTGTGTTGAAACTAATAATAAAAAGGAAAAGTGATTTCCCCTTATGAACTATTGCAAGGAACAGATTTCCCCTTATAAATCTTGATAAATATATCCCTTTATGTTGTATTTAGTTTGGAAATTTGGTAAGAAATTTAAAAAGGAAACGAAAAAATATAAGTAAAATAATAAATAAATATATTTACATTTTATTTAATTTTGCACACTTTTTCTATTTTCCTTTTCCTTTTTAAATTCCTTCTAAAATCATGAACCAAACACAACGTAAGTGAACATAATTCTTACTTGACACGTATTTTAGCATATATGTTAATTGTATTATAAAAATTACTAGATACTTAAAGATTTACCATTAAAATTTTTAGTGTTACTCTTATGTTATTGGAGTACTTTCTCTCTCACTAAATTAACAAGTACTTAGCACATTTACTCTCTTCGTCTCACTTTCTTTATCCACTTTTTCATATTAGTTTGTCCCAAAATATTTATCTATTTTTTTATTTTTATTTTTATTTTGGGCTTAAATTTTGTTAGATTTTCAAAATTATCTTTTGTAAATCATTATGAACATATTTTAAAATTTAAAAAGAAGGATAATGATGGGAAAAATATTTCAAAATCTGAATTAAAATATAATTATTGTATGTCTCTTTAATAAGTTGGATTTTCAACAGTGGACAGAGAGAGTAATAATTAAATATATTTTTGGGTGAAACACCAATAAATCTCAAAATATGATATTGTGAATGGTTTAGTTCTCAATTTTTTCTTATGAACCCAAAGGTCACATTAAAGTGAAAATTACACAAAAAGGTAATCACTTACATGTTTGAGTTTAATTTTTTTAGGATAGAAGTTTCTTTAAATGTAAAATTATACATTTGCACAATCTACACTATAGAAGATTTAGATTTTCCCTCCTATAACAAATCTCACGTTACGAACAAAAATGTGACACTCCAATGTAACACATTAAAAAACTCAGTGGTGCACTTTTCCCAAACGTAACAACGTAACACTTTAAAAAAACTCATTAGTATACTTTTTTCAAACGTAACACTCAAAAAAATTTCATCGTATACTTTTCTCGTACATAATACTTCAATCAATCTAATTCTAAATGTAACACGCCAATGTAACACACAAAAATCCTTAATGTAATTTTTTCAAACATAACACTCATAATTTGAAATTATACATTTATTCAAAACTTATTAAGGAATTTTTGTACTATTTTTAAAATGGTTTGAAAAATCCCACATCCTTTTGGAATGATTTGAAGAATCCCATTTTTTTTTTTTTTTTGTGTTACATTGGAGTATTACACTAAGAATTTTTTTTTGAGTGTTATATTTGGAAAAAGTATATTAATTTTATTTTTTTTAAATGTTACATTAGAGTGTTGCGTTTGAGTGTTGTATTGAAGTGTTAAGGTTTGAAATTATACATTTGCCCAAAGTTTATTAAGGGGTTTTTGTACTCATTTTGAAATGTTTGAAGAATCTCACTTTCTTTTGAAATGTTTGAGGAATTTTATATTTCAAGTCATTTTTGTACTCATTTTGAAATGTTTTCCAAATAAAAAAGATTCTTATATAAAAATTCATCTCAAATTTGATTCTTGTAAATTGTGTATATTACCTTTCTAGCACAAAAAAACAAAAACAGAATGAGACATAATAGAAATAAGGGTATAATCATAAATATAATTTTTAAATAATATATTAAATCTATCTTTTCAAAATTAATGAGAGTAATTGGTCTATAAAAAAATTATTAGGAGTAAATAGATTATCATTTTTCAAAATGGAATTTATAAGTAAATTTTCCTATATATTTTTTTTATAACTTTTTATTATATATAGAGCTCTAACTTCTCTTTTACGGAGTATGAAAAGTTTTTTTGGTGGTATACATGCACCAATTAGTGTACTAACTAGTGTTGCGTGTACCAACATTAGTTATGACATTATTATTGACTCCACTCATTAATTACATTTCAAATCCCAAAAACCTCTTAAATTATGCCACATCATCAATTGGTACACTAGTTAGTATATTAATTGGTATATATAGTATTATTCAAGTTTTTCAGAGCATTACTTGTTTTTGTTATCAATCAACCATCAATTGTCAAGTTATTTAATATTTTATCTCATGTTTCAACATAAAATTGGGAGCCCTATTCCTCCACCAATCATAACTAAAGATGATAAATGAGTCGGACAAACTAAACAGTTAATCATTTAAATTTATTGTAAAATTTTTAATGAATTTTAAAATTTGTTAAAATTTAATTCGTTAAACTTTTGAGTTGATCTTAAATAATTTTTTTTGTCAAACCGAACTCAATTAGTTTGATATTTTTATATAATTTTAGACTTTATAAAACTAAACTAAATAAGTAATTAATTGTTAAAGTGTGATTTAAAAATTTTAAAATATATTCAACATTAACTTGTTTACCCAACAAATTAAACTTGAATGAGTTTGAACCATCACGATACTCCAAATCACCAAAATAGCTTGTTGTGGCTAAGGCATGGAATTAGGTCTATTTTAGAGAGTAGGTTACAAATTAATCTTTAAATATTTTTTTTAAAAAAATAAAGAGATAATACAACTTAAAAAAAAATCAAAAAATTTTAAAATTGACTTTTAATCAAATTTCAAAAATAGGCACGATGGGTCAAAGAAGGAAATTTAAATATAAGATGCCTACATAGAAAAACAGGGACCTCAGACTTTTGTGGTGGCACGACGGTGGGTGGGTACAATTCCTAATTTCTTAATAATCTTCCAAGTGTTGGGTTTGCTTTGCTTTGCATTTTGAGGTCTGAGATCGAAGTAAAACCGCCTGCTTTTCTTTCTGTTATTAAAAAGCGGCATGGAACAAGGGCATTTCAATTGAGCTCTCCGCCCTCACCAATTCTTTACACACACACACACACTCACACTCGTCTTTCTCTGTAAAAGCTTCCTTTTTGACCATACACTCTCAATCACGAACCTTCTTCATGTTCCGAGTTTTCGCTTTTCTCACCATCACTTTTGTTTTCAATTTAAAGCCAAAGCCAAAGCCAAATCCAAATCCAAATCCAAATCCAAATCGCTGAACATACACTCTCAATCGTTGCTTCTTCCTCCAATTGGATTTGACACTTGTTGTGCCCATTTTCAGTATCACATCATATCAGGTAACCCTCCTCTTAGCTTTTAACGTTGTGTTTGGTTGGTGATTTGGGAAGAGATTTGGAAACGGAGAGAGAAAAGTAGGTGAAATGTGACCATCTTTTATTTTTTCCTTTCCAAATCTCTTCCCAAATCTCTAACCAAACATAGCATAAATAAATATGTATAAACATGCTTTATTGCCGATGGGTACTTTGTGGCAGACCAAGACTTACAATTTCGTGGGTTAACTCAGGAGGGTTCAAAAGGCTAAAATGGATAGGCAATTCATGGCAGTTCCTTGGCATAATGCAAAGTTGGCAGACAGGGCAGTTTATAGCAGTTATGCTTGCACAAAGTTAGGACAAAGCTTGCTAGAATTGAGGAACTGGACCAAGACAGTTCCAAGCAGTTTCCAGCAGTTACAATCTGTAGCAACCTTGTTGGTTTGAATTTGCCCTAGCAGTTGGGGGTGTCAATTGCTCACAACTGATTTGTAAAATGCCTATAAATGTTAAGGCATAGAGGGATTTAGACAGATCATGTTATCTGTACGAAATACTCTTGTATCCTTGTATTATTTGGTGATAATAAAGGTTGGGAACGGTTCCTGTAATTTACTTGTGTCGGAGGTATTCTTCCAGCAAAAGCATTCATTCTCTCTGTCTGTCCATCCGTCCTTTTGAACCCTCCTGAGTTAACCCACGAAATTGTAAGTCTTGGTTTGCCACAAAGTGTCATGCCCACTGATCTGTTTGACCCAACAAGTCTATGCTGCCAGCAGCATTCGGGCTAAGTATAGCCTTTCATTTGCCCACATGAGGCAGTTGGGGGTGTCAACTGCTCACAACTGATTTGTAAAATGCCTATAAATGTTGAGGCATAGAGGGATTTAGACAGATCATGTTATCTGTACGAAATACTCTTGTATCCTTGTATTGTTTGGTGATAATAAAGGTTGGGAACGGTTCCTGTAATTTACTTGTGTATGCTTGCTTGCTTACAAAACTTGCAGTGGGTAATTCGTGCATGCTAGGCTGAGACTAAGTACTTTAACTTAGTGCCATTACAGGAAATTTGAGGATGTGATGCCTCCGGAGTTGCCAAAGTCCCTTCCTCCTCGGCGTGCCACTGATCACAAGATAGAGTTGATTCAGGGTGCTAAGCCTCCATCAAAGGCACCTTACAGAATGTCCCCAATGGAACTTACGGAGTTGCGAACGCAATTGACAGACTTATTGGATGCTGGACTGGTTCAGCCATCCAAAGCCCCTTACGGTGCCCCAGTGCTTTTTCAAAAGAAGCAAGATGGAAGTTTGCGCATGTGTGTGGACTATCGGGCTCTCAACAAAGTGACTATAAAGAATAAGTACCCAGTCCCTTTGGTGGCAGACCTTTTCGATCGACTGTGCAAGGCCACTTACTTCACAAAATTGGATTTACGTGCTAGCTATTGGCAAGTTCGAGTGGCTGAAGGAGATGAGTCAAAGACCACTTGTGTTACGAGGTATGGGTCTTTTGAGTTCCTAGTAATGCCGTTTGGGTTAACTAATGCCTCGGCTACATTCTGTAATCTTATGAATGATGTGTTCAATGATTATGTCGATCAGTTTGTTGTTGTTTATTTGGATGATATTGTAATATATAGTGAGTCCCTAGAGGATCACTTGTCCCACCTTCGGATGGTGTTCACTTGGTTAAGGGAACACCAATTGTATGCCTAGAAGGAAAAGTGTGAGTTTGTCCAGCGGGAAATTAAATTCTTGGGGCATGTAATTTGCAAAGGCTACGTGAACTGTCTTGGTCCAGTTCCTCAATTCTAGCAAGCTTTGTCCTGACTTTGTGCAAGCATAACTGCTATAAACTGTCCTGTCTGCCAGCTTTGCATTATGCCAAGGAACTGCCATGAATTGCCTATCCATTTCAGCCTTTTGAACCCTCCTGAGTTAACCCACGAAATTGTAAGTCTTGGTCTGCCACAAAGTGTCATGCCCACTGATTTGTTTGACCCAACAAGTCTATGCTGCCAGCAGCATTCGGGCTAAGTATAGCCTTTCATTTGCCCTCATGAGACATTACTTGCCTTAGGGTCTGGTGGCATTGCCACTGCCACATAGTTACCTTGACTTAGGCATGCCTTCCTCATGCCTAGGGCTGAGCAAGGAATCCGTGAAATCCGTAATCCGATCCAGTCCAGTCCAATCCGATAGGTTTGGATTGGTTTTTTAAATCCGCGGTTCGGTTCCGGATTGAAAGGTGCTAACAAACCACCCCCACCAGAAGAAGCCGACGTCCTCGTCGGTAAGGCCTCTAAGTAGTCTGTAATTTTTTTCTCAAACTGCCATAGAGTCGCATCCTTTTCCCAACTCGCATCCGCTTCAGTAGAACCCTTCCACTTAACCAAGTAATGAGTTCTTCGATTTTTCTTGCTTTGCCCCTCTGTCTTGTGGTCCAGAATTCGTTCCACTTCTTTGTCAAACTGTTTTTTGATCACCGGATGGGCGCGTCGAGCTTGCGTCCGTGTTAAGTTTGCCTGATCCTCATGATAAGGTTGCAGGAAACTAACATGGATTGTAGGGTGAATCTTCAACCGGTCAGGCAATTTCAGCCTGTAAGCAACATTTCCCACACGTTTTAGAATTTCGAAGGGTCCATCATATTTTGGAACTAAGCCTCGGTGCGCTGTCTTGCTACTTATCTTTTTCCAAATCTGTGGAGTAAGTTTCAGCAGCACCTTGTCTCCCACTTTGAATTCCAAGGGTCTTCGCCCTTTGTCAGCATACTTTTTCATCCGCTTGCTTGCCTTAGCCAAACTGTCTTGTGCTTCATCTAGCATGTCTTGTTTAGCTCTTGCAAACCGGTATGCTGCGGGACATCTACCCCCAGAGCCAGTCCTTGCCACTTCATGCGGAGTGAGGGGCTGCTGCCCCATGGCTAATTCAAATGGACTCATTCCTGTGGCAGATGACCGATGCAGATTATAACAAAATTGGGCACTATCCAACAGGTCAATCCAATTCCTCTGACTTGCAGTCACATAATGTCGGAGGTATTCTTCCAGCAAAGCATTCATTCTCTCGGTCTGTCCATCCGTTTGAGGATGATTTGCTGTAGAAAACTTTAATTCGGATCCCATCAAGTTGAATAACACCGTCCAAAATTGTCCCGTAAACCGGGTATCCCCGTCACTAACAATATCCTCGGGCAAACCAAAGTATTTCACCACATACTTATAAAAAAGGTCTGCCGCAACATCGGTGGGACAAGCATGAGGGGCAGGGATAAATACAGCATATTTAGAGAAACGATCAACAACAACCATAACAGAACGCATACCGTTCACCTTTGGCAACCCGGATATGAAGTCCATGGAAACAGACACCCATGGCTTCGTTGGAATAGGCAACGGCTGCAGCAATCCAGCGGCCTTCTTTCTTTCTATCTTATCCAATTGGCACACCAGGCAAGTTTTGACGTAGGCCTCTACATCATCCTCCATTTTTGGCCAGCAGTAGGAACGAGACAGTAAAGCCATCATGCGTTGTTGTCCGGGATGACCCGCCCATTGCGGATCATGAGTTTCTCTAAGCAACTCCAATCTTAGTCCACCAACACTAGGGACATATAGTCTATCTCCTTTGTCGTGGAGTAGATCGTTTTCCAACCAATAGCGACGCACAGTGCCATCTTTCACTTGCTGAACTAGCCTTCGATATTCAGAATCAATTGCAGCACTGCCCGAATTCTTTCCAACAATTGAGTTTCAATGTTTGATATCGTAGCAACGTAGTCCACAATTTCCTTCCGACTCAAAGCATCAGCAACCTGGTTGTGGCGTCCAGGTTTGTGTCGCCATTCGAAGTCACTCCTCAAGGAATTCTTGCCATCTGGCCTGCCTTGGAGACAACTTCTTTTGTGTTTTGAAGAAGGTATTTGCCACATTGTCCGTCAATACCATGAATTTGGTTCCCAACAGGTAAACTCTCCAAATCTGAAGACAATGTACCACCGCTGTCATTTCTTTTTCATGGGCAGAATACTTCTTCTCCGCATCATTCAACTTCCGACTTTCAAATTCAACTGGGTGCCCCTCTTGCACCAAAACACCACCAATAGCTTTATCAGAGGCATCAGTATGTAATTCAAATGGAAGTTCAAAATCAGGTAACCGCAAAACCGGTTCACTTGCAACAGCCACTTTCAACTTGTCAAAGGCCGCTTGACAATTTTCATCCCACTTCCAAGGTTTGTCTTTTTTGAGTAAATCCGTGAGAGGTGCTGCCTTCTTTGAGTATCCCTCAATGAATTTTCTATAATAGTTGGCCAAACCCTAAAAGGAGCGCAACTCAGTCACTTTGCTTGGTGCATGCCAATCCATGATTGCTTACACTTTTCTATTGTCCATCTTCACGTGGCCTTTGCAAATTATATGCCCCAAGAATTTAATTTCCCGCTGGGCAAACTCACACTTTTCCTTCTTGACATACAATTGGTGTTCCCTTAACCGAGTGAACCCCATCCGAAGGTGGGACAAGTGATCCTCTAGGGACTCACTATATATTACAATATCATCCAAATAAACAACAACAAACTGATCGACATAATCATTGAATACATCATTCATAAGATTACAGAATGTAGCTGGGGCATTAGTTAACCCAAACGGCATTACTAGGAACTCAAAAGACCTATACCTCATAACACATGTGGTCTTTGACTCATCTCCTTCAGCCACTCGAACTTGCCAATAGCCAGCACGTAAATCCAATTTTGTGAAGTGGCCTTGCACAGTCGATCGAAAAGGTTTGCCACCAAAGGGACTGGGTATTTGTTCTTTATTCTTTATAGTCACTTTGTTGAGAGCCCGATAGTCCACATACATGCGCAAACTTCCATCTTGCTTCTTTTGAAAAAGCACTGGGGCACCGTAAGGAGCTTTGGATGGCTGAACCAGTCTAGCATCCAATAAGTCTGTCAATTGCGTTCGCAACTCCGTAAGTTCCATTGGGGACATTCTGTAGGGTGCCTTTGCTGGAGGCTTAGAACCCGGAATCAACTCTATCTTATGATCCGTGGCACGCCGAGGAGGAAGGGACTTTGGCAACTCCGGAGGCATCACATCCTCAAATTCCCTCAACACTTCTAGCATTTCTACTGATAGATCAGGTTTGATTTCCACCAAGGTAGCAAGATAAGTCTCTGCGCCCTTTTTCAAACCGTTGTGCACTTGAATGGCTGAGAGGGTCTCCGTCTTCCTCTTTGTGCCTTTGCCTTTGTTTGATTTACTGCAACTAGCGACAAAGCAAGGCTTGTCTTCATCCGAAATAAGTATCCCACCTAAATATGGCATTAAAGCCACTTTTGCAGTCACAAAGAAGTCATTTCCTAAGATGACATCGAAATCATCCAAAGGAACCACCATCAAGTTAACCCGCCCAGTCCAATCTCCAACTATGGTTGATACTTTGGAAGCCATTCCTTGTACCGATTGAGCCGCTGAGTTCACTGCCTTGATTCGACTGGCGCTTTGGGTAACTTGCAATCCGAGGGTCTGCACAACTTTTTCTGACATAAAGTTATGCGTGGCACCGGTGTCTACCGTCGCAGCAATGTCAATACCCGCCAATGTCACCTTGATGTACATTAGACCAGTAGTAGGGGCTTTGTCCACATGAATTGCATTGAGCAATTGTAAGGGATTTACCCTAGTCGGCCCCTCAGAATCCGACTCGCCTTTGACATCTTCTGCGACCATAGCGTTCAATTTCTCACGCTTGGGACAGTCTTTCGCTCTATGGGGTCCATCACAGATGAAACACCCTTTGTTAGATTTCCCACCGTTGGTCTGGGAAGAATCCCCCTTATGTTTGTACTTGGAATCCTCTTTCCCCTTCTTGAAACCAGACTTCTTATCTCCCGTCTTCTCTTTTCCTTTCTTCTTGGATTTGCTGGTTTCAGTAGTGGGTTCCTTGCTTAACTTGTAGTCAAGCAACTCGTCTGCAGCAGCTATGGCAGAGGGCAAATCTTTGACACCGAGTCTTCGAAGTTCTAACTGGGCCCAATTCTGCAACCCAGACATAAAGTTGAAGAGTTTATCTTCCTCCGACATGTTTTTGATGTCCAGCATCAAAGAACTGAATTCTTTCACATTGTCCCTCACCGATCCAGCATGCTTCAACCGTTTCAAGGCGTCCCTTGCAACCCAAGATGTGTTGCACGGAAGGAATTGTTCCTTCATTTCCTTCTTAAGAGTATCCCAAGTTGAGATCTCTGTTCGAGCATAATCCCCGACACGTGTACGCCACCAAAGTTTAGCATCACTAGTAAGGTACATGCTTGTGATTGTAACCTTCTCTCCTTCAGGCACATGAGCAGCCTTGAAGTACTGCTCCATGTCCCAATGGGCAGAATACTTCTTCTCCGCATCATTCAGCTTCCGACTTTCGAACGCAACCGGGTGCCCCTCTTGCACCAGCACACCGCCAATAGCCTTATCAGAGGCATCAGTGTGTAATTCGAATGGAAGTTCAAAATCAGGTAACCGCAAAACCGGTTCACTTGCAACAGCCACTTTCAATTTGTCAAAGGCCGCTTGACAACTTTCATCCCACTTCCAGGGTCTGTCTTTCTTGAGCAAATCTGTTAGAGGTGCTGCCTTCTTTGAGTATCCCTCAATGAATTTTCTATAATAGTTGGCTAAACCCAAAAAGGAACGCAACTCAGTCACTTTGCTTGGTGCTTGCCAATCCGTGATTGCATGCACCTTTCTGTTGTCCATCTTTACGTGGCCTTTACAAATTACATGCCCTAAGAACTTAATCTCCCGTTGGGCAAACTCGCATTTTTCCTTCTTGACATACAACTGGTGTTCTCGTAACCGAGAGAACACCTTCCGAAGATGGGACAAGTGATCCTCTAGGGACTCACTATATATTACAATGTCATCCAAATAAACGACAACGAACTGATCGACATAATCATTAAATACATCGTTCATAAGATTACAGAATGTAGCCGGGGCATTTGTTAACCCAAACGGCATTACTAGGAACTCAAAAGACCCATACCTTGTAACACAGGTGGTCTTTGACTCGTCTCCTTCAGCCACTCGAACTTGCCAATAACCAGCACGTAAATCCAATTTTGTGAAGTAAGTGGCTTTGCACAGTCGATCGAACAGGTCTGCCACCAAAGGGACTGGATACTTGTTCTTTATAGTCACTTTGTTGAGAGCCCGATAGTCCACACACATGCGCAAACTTCCATCTTGCTTCTTTTGAAAAAGCACCGGGGCACCGTAAGGGGCTTTGGATGGCTGAACCAGTCCAGCATCCAATAAGTCTGTCAATTGCGTTCGCAACTCCGTAAGTTCCATTGGGGACATTCTGTAGGGTGCCTTTGCTGGAGGCTTCGCACCCGGAATCAACTCAATCTTATGATCAGTGGCACGCCGAGGAGGAAGGGACTTTGGCAACTCCGGAGGCATCACATCCTCAAATTCCCTCAATACTTCTACCACTTCATCCGGCACTTCTACTAACAGATCAGGTTTGATTTCCACCAAGGCAGCAAGATAAGTCTCTGCACCCTTTTTCAAACCGTTGTGCACTTGAATGGCTGAGAGGGTCCCCGTCTTCCTCTTTGTGCCCTTGCCTTTGTCTGATTTACTGCAACCAGCGACAAAGCAAGGCTTGTCTTCATCCGAAATAAGTATCCCACCTAAATATGGCATTAAAGCCACTTTTGCAGTCACAAAGAAGTCATTTCCTAAGATGACATCGAAATCATCCAAAGGAACCACCATCAAGTTAACCCGCCCAGTCCAATCTCCAACTATGGTTGATACTTTGGAAGCCATTCCTTGTACCGATTGAGCCGCTGAGTTCACTGCCTTGATTCGACTGGCGCTTTGGGTAACTTGCAATCCGAGGGTCTGCACAACTTTTTCTAACATAAAGTTATGCGTGGCACCGGTGTCTACTGTCGCAGCAATGTCAATACCCGCCAATGTCACCTTGATGTACATTAGATCAGTAGTAGGGGCTTTGTCCACATGAATTGCATTGAGCAATTGTAAGGGATTTACCCTAGTTGGCCCCTTAGAATCCGACTTGCCTTTGCCATCTTCTGCGACCATAGCGTTCAGTTTCTCACGCTTGGGACAGTCTTTCGCTCTATGGGGTCCATCACAGATGAAACACCCTTTGTTAGATTTCCCACCGTTGGTCTGGGAAGAATCCCCCTTATGTTTGTACTTGGAATCCTCTTTCCTCTTCTTGAAACCAGACTTCTGATCTCCCGTCTTCTCTTTTCCTTTCTTCTTGGATTTGCTGGTTTCAGTAGTGGGTTCCTTGCTTAACTTGTAGTCAAGCAACCCGTCTGCAGCAGCCATGGCAGAGGGCAAATCTTTGACACCGAGTCTTCGAAGTTCTAACTGGGCCCAATTCTGCAACCCAGACATAAAGTTGAAGAGTTTATCTTCCTCCGACATGTTTTTGATGTCCAGCATCAAAGAACTGAATTCTTTCACATTGTCCCTCACCGATCCAGCATGCTTCAACCGTTTCAAGGCGTCCCTTGCAACCCAAGATGTGTTCCACGGAAGGAATTGTTCCTTCATTTCCTTCTTAAGAGTATCCCAAGTTGAGATCTCTGTCCGAGCATAATCCCCGACACGAGTACGCCACCAAAGTTTAGCATCACTAGTAAGGTACATGCTTGTGATTGTAACCTTCTCTCCTTCAGGCACATGAGCAGCCTTGAAGTACTGCTCCATGTCCCATAGAAAATTCTCAAGTTCTTTCGCACTTCGATTTCCGCCAAAAGCTTTAAGGTCGGGAACTTTGATTTTCGAAGGAGCCTTTTCAGAATTCGTATGCCCACAAATGGCTTTCTTCAGAAGGGACAGTTCATCCACAACTTCTTGAAACTTGTCTTTCCAAGAATCCGAAATGGCTAGCACATCTGTCAGCACGTCTTTGAACCGATCTGCTGTCGAGGTCTCAAGGGCAAGAAACCTTGAGGCCACAGCATCCAATCGATCCGCCAGCGAGATATTCTCATCAGCAGGGTCACCAACAAGATTTTCCAACCGAGTTACCCTGTCTTTGAAGGCATCCATGCCAGAAACCATTAGAGCAAAACCGTGTGAAATTTGACATTTTGGATTAGAGTTTTGATGAATCTCGACCATAATGCATATCCAAGAAAAAATACCCAGAAAAGCGTTCAGGATTTGATTTTAAACTGTACATTTGAACTTTTGTGCACTGTGTGCTACACCCATAATATGATTTTAAATCTACACATTCTTGGCACTCTTTTAGGTTTTTTTGTTTGTTTGCTTGTTCGTTTAGGTACGTAACATTTGTGAATATGGATTCCAGTTTATTATAGGTGTTGGCAAGTAGTTACCACTGATTAGAGTGGCTCCAAAGCTTTACTCAATTTTCATCAAATTTCATTTAAATTTGATAAAAAGTGGCTTGATCTGATATCTCGCTTTCCAATGGAGCGATTTGGGATTTCATCAAACCACCGGTTGACCGGAAGGAGGATCGGGGGATGACCGGCCAGTGTAAATTTTTCAAAATTTTTTGCAAGGAGGTGGTCAACTAGGGGGACATCTGGCTGGTCGTCCGATGCTCAAGAGCTAATGGCTGTGTACAGTAATTTGGTGAAAGGTTCCAACATTCTCAATATGATGAAAAATTTGAGATATCTTCAATTTGATGAAACAAAAAATGAAGCGTTGGAACAACCAGTTTTGTACTGTTTTTCATCAAATTTAAATTTGATGAAACAAAAGATGGAGGATTGGAGATGGTCTCAGTAGTTAATTGGGCCCCCCCAAAAAACAAACTTGGCTTACTTGTACTATCTTCTTTTTGGGTTTATCATAATTGTCCCAAAAAAAAAAAAAAAGAGAAGGAAACTGACGGTTGCTTTTGGATTGTGTTATGGTTGTTAATAGCTATTGCTTCACAATAATGATGGAGAAGGCAGATCCTTCGCAGAGGCTTTACACGCGGATGCGGCTATGGGAGTTTCTAGATCAGTATGTTATTGAGGCCACGGATGTCTCTGCTGGCTCCTGTTTGGCAATCAGTCGGGTGGATGGGTCAATGAATCTTATTGGTCAGCTGCTTTTATATTGTTACTTGTTTGACATGCTTGTACATTTTGGATTTCAATTTTACCTAGTTTTTATTTTTTATTCACTAGATGCTATGTGTTTTAACTCGTGTATTTTCCTTTCGTTAGATTATATTCCACAATGCAACACTATTCGAGCATCGAAAATTTGGACCATCTTTGGTGTAATTGGGATACTAAAGCTCTTGGCAGGTAAGATTCTCTTGTTAATGACTCAAAGTCTAAATGTTTAAGATATAGATCTGTGACTTTTGGTTTTGGCACCAATGTTAATCAAATTTTATTTTTGGGCCATGTGAAAGTCATGCCCCGAAATTTATGGCTTTGAGATTTATGTGTGCCAACATAGTCTCTGTAATTGGAATAGAGTAAGATGGTTTAGATGTTTTATGAACAGGGTAATAATTTTTAATTAGCAACCTAAAAAATTCTTGATAGTCAAGAGTTTGCTTTGTCAGCCATGTTTTTATGGTGTACATTTTCAAGCATCCTTTGAGAAGCACATACACTGATATTTCATGATTAAGATTCAATACAACACTTAGAAAATATGAGTAAGAAGAACTCCGAAAATATGAGGAAGAAGGAATATATTTCTGTTATATTCAAAACTTCTTATCTTACAAGACCAAATGACACTCCTTATATAGGAGATATTACAAACATCATTATAACCCATTATATGCCACTTACATATTATATATTACCACTATCATATTATATACATGCCACCAACACCACTATCATATTATATTCATGCCACTATCTTATTATATACATTAACACAAATTTCCAGCACTCCCCCTCAAGCTGGTTTGAAGATATCTGATTCCCACAAGTAAATCAATCAATACGAATAAAAAACTAACGCGGAAAAATAAATAAAAAACAACACAAGAATTTTTACGTGGTTCCCTCAATATGAGGTACGTCCACGGGATCGAAATCTGATTCCACTATCAACCAAAGACTTTCCAAACAATTACAAACGAGACACGAATGGTCTCACAAAACCACCCTTAGGTGAATTCCAAATAATCACAAATAAAC